TGTCACAGAATCCTACCCACCCGTGAAAGGAAGGTCGTCCTGATGCTTGCGACACCCGATGGCCCCCAGGGAAGCTGGGCAGAGGTTGCGGACTGTGTGACCGCAGTTCTGTGACGTTTTGAAATGAAATTGTAGAGATGGGGAGCGGATCCGTGATGGGGGAGGGGCTGGGGGAAGGGTGGGTGTGAGCCTCGCGGTGAAGGGCCAGTCTGTGCTTGCCTGTGGCGGTGACACCGACCACAGCGGCGAGATTGCATGGAGACACACGCATGTTGGCAAACAGGGAACTCGGAAGCAGGCCTGTGGGCAGCCAGCCGGTTTCCTGGTTGCGCTGAGCTGAAGCTTTGGTTATGAGAACTGTTGACAGGAGACGGGGTGAAGGCTCCACGAACCCCACCCCCCGCCCCCCGCATGCTTTCTGCAATCTCCTTCGAATCCATGACTACTGCAAAGCCAAGTTGTTATTGTTAACGACGCAGTCATGTTGGAAAACAATCTGGCAGTTTCTTTAAGAAATGAGTCAGGCCCCGGCCCGTCTGGCTCAGTGGGTAGCATGGGAGGAGGCGGCCTCAGCACCTGGGCGGGAGCTGCGGCGATGGCCGCTGTGGGGTTTATAATTAGACGTTCCTGCGCAGCCAGCCTGGCACCCACCCACCCACCGCCCACCGGCTCGGCTCAGTCTGCGGAGCCGGTCACAGCTGCTTGGAAGTCGGCAAAGGCTTTTGTCCCCGCTTCCGCCCCACCGCCCAGGGCCCAGTCGCCCCTGCGGAAGGCGGTGCCCCCTCTCCCGGTGCCCCTCTGAGTGGCAGCCCCAGCGACAGGGACCGGTGGCTGCAGGAGGGGCTGCTGGGGGTGGGGTGGGGGACACTGAGTCTCGGGGGCAGCGAGGTTCTGGGACTGAGGAAGCCAACAGATGCCGGGGTCAGGGGTCACCCAGGGAGCTTCCTGCCTTAGGGTCCCCATTGCCAGGCCCGAGGCTGAGGAGCCTGGCTCTGCCTTCTCGGCTGGCACCCTGAGGGAGCTCACCAGGCCCAGGCTTCAAACACCCTGCGAGCCAGAGAAGGCCTGGCTGGTGCTGCCGCTAATGGCGTGAGCTGAGTTGGTGGGGGAGGTATCACAGAAGAGGATCCGACCTTGAACCTGCCCTCCAGTCAGTCTCGACCAGGGGTTCCCAGCCTCGTCTTGACCATGCCCCCCCCCCACCAGCATCTCTAAGTCCTGATGTCCCCTCATCCCTGCCGTGACATGGAATTCTCATCATCCAAAGTGACTCCTATTCATGGAGCTCCTGAGAGGCATTCGCTTGGTCTGAACAGGCTTCCGGAGAGCACGGCTCCGTGGAAGAGAAAAGCAGAAGAACGAAAGGACAGTGAAGTCCTTAGGAAGAATCACTAAGAGGTTGTTAGAAATAATATCCGTGTTTCCCCGAAAATAAGACATCCTCCGAAAATAAGACCTAGCGCATGGAAAAATAAGACATCCCCTGAAAATAAGACCTAGCGCATCTTTGGGAGCAAAAATTAATATAAGACACTGTCTTATTTTCGGGGAAACAGGGTAGTATGAAGTGATGTGAAAAAATAGCAAATGAAGTTTCAAAACAATAGAGAACTGAAATGCATAAATACGTCACGACATATATTTACATGCTGTACACGAGGCCCCAGAACCATAAGAAATGCAAAAGATTCACTGCTAATAACTCATTCTCGAACTGCCCCTTAAAAGCCAAATTGCCCCCCTGTGTCGTGCACTCCTCACTGGGAACCCCTGGTCTAGACGTTGCTTTAGATAATTACAGCTGAGAGCAGGGGGAGGTGATGCCAGGAGGAACAATAATGAGGGTTGAGCCTGGCCCGTGTGCTCAATGGTTAGAGCACAGGCCTGACAGAAGGGTCCCAGGTCCCATTCCTGATCCAGGGCATGTAAGTGGGTTTCAATGCCCAGCCCCGGGGCGAATGTGGGAGGCAGACAATCCAAGTGTCTCTCTCACGTCGATGTTTCTCTCTCTCCCCCCTCCCTCCCACTCTCTCTAAAAACCAATAGGAAAACACCCTCAGGTGAGGATAGAAAATAATGATAAAGGGAGTTGGCATACACGGCTCCACTGATGCGGGGGGCTGGGAGGAACTGCCTCCTGGTGGGGAAACCGTTGGAACTGGATGAGAATGTGCTCGATGCCACAGAACTGCTCGCTCAGTGGGTATTTTACGTCCCGGGATCACCTCCCTTTAACAGATGGAGCGAACACCGGCTGTGAAACGGGAGGCCAGCTTGCATGAGTTTTGACGAGGGCCCACCTGAGGAAGCGCCGCCCTCCCTCGGCTGCCGGGTCCCCAGGAGAGCTGGCCGGGCTCCGGGGAGGGTTTCAGGGCCCAGGCCGGCCTCCTGGGCCCCCAGGCGGTCTGCAGGAGCAGCAGGTGGTCTGGGCGCAGCACCCACCACTCCTGCCCCTCTTCGGGGCCCAGGCACTGGCCCTCGGGCTCCGGTGGCTCCCCGACCCGGACTGACCCACGGCTGCTTTGGCTTCTCCAGCCCCGAGGCTACTCCTCACGGCCGCTGCTGCCTGCCCTTCAGCTTGGGGGCCCCTCTGTGTGTGTATGCCCCGGAGCACCCCACGCGTCCCCTCTCCCCCCCCCCCCCCCCCCGAGCACCGTCAGCCTGCTCTAACCACCCTGCTCTGACAAGCCCCTTCTCCTCCCAGGATGGGGGCGGGCCGGCTACCTGGCTCAGAGACAGAACTGAATCCTCTGAGCAGAGACCGGGAGAGACCCTCACCCCTGAGTGACCTTGGTGTCCTCCTCTGTGTCCTGCAGCTTCTGTTGTCCTCCCTCTGGGCCCAGAAGGCTGTGAAGCCCAGGCTTGCAAGGCCTTAAGCTAACCGTTTACATCAGCCCATTTCACAGATGAGGAAACTGAGTCCAGAGAGAAAGAGGTGACTGCAGAGGGAACAAGATGAGCTGCCAGCGGGGCTGCACCCAGGACGCATTTGGGCTCTAGGTTTCCAGCTCCTCGCAGCCAGCAAACCCAAAGGACGCCCATCGCCGCGCACCGCCCGGCTCAGGCCCCTCATCCTCACGGGAGGCGATCTCAGCGGGGCTGGCTGGCCCCTCACAGGGAGGGCGGCCCGCCAGGCCCCCAGCCCCATGCACCCTCACCACCTCCGCTGTGAGTGAAGATCAGGCCCCACCCTCGGGAGACACAATCCACGCACTCGATACGCGTGCATTCACTCATTGACCGGCTCACTCTTTCTGTAAATTTTTATTGAACTCAAATTCTTGGGAAGCTTTTATCAAAATTGCTCCTGCAGCTGGACCACGGTGGCCAGGGTGTGCCCCGCAGCAAAGAGCCCTAAGGCTGCGGTGCAGTCCCCCTCCCTCCCCCCCGGCTCAGTCCGGGAGCTTGCTGGCGTAGACCTCGGCCCGGTCCAGCTGCAGCCCCCGGTTCACCGCCGCGTACGCCGGCTCCGCGGTGCCCAGGGCCTTGGGGCCGGCCTCCTGGGAGATCTGTGAGTCATGTGTAGTCTCCGTGTCAGAGCCGCCCACGTCCCTGGCGGAGAGTAGGGAGAGAGCGGGATGAGGGGCGCAGAGCACGCCTGGACCCCGGACCCGTGAGCTGCTAGGGGCCTTCCCACTCAGGCGCTGCTTTCACGAGGCCTTCTCACCTGTCTGTTCAGTCACCGTCTTTCCCCGGCACTCAGGGTGTGCCAGGCCCTGGGGGGAGGAGAGCGTCCCCCTTTGGGAACTAAATGAACCTCCTTCAGGGTTTACTTGGAGCGGGACCCTGGAGGCCACTGCCCCTGTCCCTAAAGACTAAGAGTAAGACTGCAGGGGGAGACAGACCACAGCAACGGCCAGGCTGAGGGACAGTTCCGGGAGGGAGCCAAGGGGGACTTCCTGGAGGAGGCGGCAGTTCACTGGCCCCAAAGGAGAGGAGGGAGAGTACAGGAAGGCATTGGGGCAGCGACAGGAATGGCTGGGGCCGGGCAGAAGCGACAAGCTCTGTGCAGCTGGGGCCAGAGATGACAGCAGGGACACGGGGAAGAATCAGGCTACAGTCAGGGAACAGGGCCGTGGCCAGTTAGGGCATCGCCCCAAGGGAGGGAGGGGCACCCTGCCTCCTGACTGCTCCCAGGCTCACCTCATCTATTATTTATGATTTTATTAATTCATATTTTTAAAATATATTTTTATTGACTTTAGAGAGGGAGAGGGAGAGGGAGAGGGAGAGGGAGAGGGAGAGGGAGAGGGAGAGGGAGAGGGAGAGGGAGAGGGAGAGGGAGAGGGAGAGGGAGAGAGAGAAACATGAATGATGAGATAGAATCATTGGTCAGCCGAGACCGGTTTGGCTCAATGGATAGAGCGTCGGCTTGGGAACTGAAGGGTCCCGGGTTCGATTCCGGTCAATGGCATGTACCTTGGTTGCGGGCATATACCCAGTAGGGGGTGTGCAAGAGGAAGCTGATCGATGACTCTCATCGATGTTTCTAACTATCTATCTCTCTCCCTTCCTCTCTGTACAAAATCAATAAAATATATTTAAAAAAAAAAAAAGAATCATTGGTCAGCTGCCCCCTGCACACCCCTTACTGGGAATCAAGCCTGCAACCTGGGCATATGTCCTGACTGGGAATCAAACCCAGGACCCTTCACTCCACAGGCCGATGCTCTATGCACTGAGCCACACCAGCTAGGGCTGTGTCTTTATTAATTTAAATGTCAGAAGGCACCTTGATTTTCAGCAGCCCCATCCCCATCCCTGACCCTCCCACGTCTTTTCCTGCCAGCCTGGCTGATGTCCACCTGCTTCACCTGCTCCACGGACCTGTCCCACCTGCTGTCCACTCCACTGGATGGGCACCCTCCGATCCCCACATCCCCCAGGCTCCCTCTCTCCGAGCAGCACCCATACGTGACTTCCACCACCCGCCCTGGCAGAGAGGGTGCCTGCCGCTCCCTCCTCCAGGCGCCCCCCCCCCATGCGCCCGGCGTGGTGGGAAGCAGACAGACGTGAGCAGCGCAGGGGCGACGGGCCAGGCACAGAAGGTCACCAGGCGGAAAGCCCACTGTACGGTGGGACCTCACCCCCGGGGTGGCTTTTTCTCCTGAATCCTATCCGGGTCACAGGTTTGGAGCACCTGACCTCTCTCCCTGGAGATCACATCGGGGCCTCAGCTGTGTCTCAGCTCCAGGCCCAGAAAATCCGCAAAACCAGACAGGGGCACCGCGGCGGCCTCAGGACCAGCTGCACGGCCTGAGGACCCTGCCCTGGTGCCGCCAACCAGCCAGGGGGGACCAGGACCCTGAGAGGGCACCTGGAAGCTGACGGATATTCTATTAGGATCTCCCCTGGGTCCTCCCCTAAATGTCCACCCTTAACACCCTCAGGACCAGGGACCCAGGGAGCTCTCCCTTCCTTTCCCTTTCCCTCCCCGCCCCTCATCCCACCACCCTGCCCCGCCCCAGCCAGGTGAGTTACCTTACCTCCCCCACCCCACGCTCCTAGGACACCTCCTTTATCTCTGTCACTAACAAGCTCATTTCTTCTGGGAATTACTTTTTCTACCTCTGTGATTTTATACATAAACTTGTATAAAATCACATGAAATGTGTGCACGGTTTGGTCCCTAGTGGCTGCCAGCTGCTGGCTGCTGGTCAGGACCTCCCTTTCCCGGCTGCTGGCTGCCAGCTAGGGGCCTTCCATCGTTCCGCACCGCCCCCTGGTGGTCAGTGCACAACCCTAGGTTGTGCAATGGTAAGTGTCAGACCTGCCATCTGCAGGCAAACCCCTCCTACCAGGCTGACCTTGGCCTCGGGAGCCCCAGGACTCAGCCCCCCACCCCCAGGCCCCACCCCGCCCAGGGTGGAAGGCGGCTCCCCGGCCTGTGGGGCTCCCCCTGCCTCAGAGGACCCTCCCAGGGGAGCGTGCCCGCGCCTCCTCGTCCTTCCTCCAGCTGCGGGTACTCACACGAGGCTCAGCACGATGGCGCCCGCAAAGCCCAGGAGCAGGAAGAAGGGCAGGGAGCCCAGGATGGACGTGATGACAATCATGCCGCCGCTCCGCCGGCCAGGCCACGTGTCGATCGCCAGGTACGGGGAGACTGGCAGGACACAGGCCGTGACCCCCCAGACGCGGCACCCCCAGCCCTCCCAGGATGCACAGCGTCTCCCAGCCCTGGTGGCAGCAGGTCTCAGGGACGAGGGGACCCAGTTCCGGGACTGCCTCCCCCTGCCTTGAGGAGCTTGTCCCCACATCCCAATTCCCAACCTCCTCTTGAGTGTGTTTGGTCTCTTCCTCCTTTTTAAAAATATTTTTTTATTGACTTCAGAGAGGAAGGGAGAGGGAGAGATAGAAGCATCCAGGATGAGAGAGGCTCATGGATCGGCTGCCTCCTGCATGCCCCATACTGGGGACGGAGCCTGTAGCCCAGGCATGTGCCCTCCCGGGAATCGAACCGTGACCTCCTGGTTCCTAGGTTGACCCTCAACCGCTGCGCCATGCCGGCCGGGCTCTCTCTCTCTTAACTGTCCTGGTGCACAGCTTCCCGTTTCACAGGCCTGAGCCTTCCGGCGAGGTGGGTGGGGTGCACATGATAGATGTTAAAGGCGCAGCGAAGGGCCTGGGTGATGGGGCAGGTGCCCAGGGCTCTGCCTGCTCTGGCCAGTGTCAGACAGCGCCCAGGCCCTCCCGTGAGCGGGCCATGCCCGGCCGTGCTCCCTGTGGACCCACAGACCCCGTTCTGCCGTTCGCTCACAGCCGCTCACGGAGCCGAGTTCCTGTTCAAGGGCGCTCAGACCCAGCCTCAAGCCTGCAGGTCAGTCTGTGCCCAAAGGGCCTGCTGCTGTCCCCACAGACTGAGCTCAGGCCCAGAGAGGAAGCCTGCAGGGGAGGCAGAGCCTGGATATATATATATTTTTTTATTTTTTTATTTTCGAATATATATATTTAAAATATATTTCAGAGAGGAAGGGAGAGAGAGAGAGAAACATCAATGAATCCCAGCCGGTGTGGCTCAGTGGATAGAACACTGGCCTGCAGACCAAAGGGTCTCGGGTTCGATTCTAGTCAAGGGCATGTACCTGGGTTGCAGGCTCCTCCTTAGCCCAGGCCCTGGTCTGGGCATGTGCAGGAGGCAAACAATCGATGTGAGATGTTTCTGTCTTTCCCTCTCTCTCGCCCACTCTCCCTAAAAATCAATGCAAAAATATCCTCAGGTGAGAATTAAAAACAAAAAAAAATAAAAATAAAATTTTTTTAAAAAAAGGAACAGCAGCCGAGACCGGTATGGCTCAATGGATAGAGCGTCGGCTTGGGGACTGAAGGGTCCCGGGTTCGATTCCGGTCAAGGGCATGTACCTTGGTTGCGGGCATATCCCCAGTGGGGGGTGTGCAAGAGGCAGCTGATCGATGACTCTCTCTCATCGATGTTTCTAACTCTCTATCCCTCTCTCTTCCTCTCTGTACAAAATCAATAAAATATATTAAAAAAAAAAAAAAGAACGTTTCTCTTTAAAAAAAAAAAAAAGTAACAGCAATGATGAGAGAGAAGCTGCCTCCTGCACGCCCCCTACTGGGGATCCAGCCCATAATCCTGGCATGTGCCCTGCTAGGGAATTGACTCCGGGACCCTCGGGCCACAGGCTAACGCTCTATCCACTGAGCCACACCAGCCAGGGCCGAGTCCAGATTCTTCCTCCTGCATCAGAGAGGAGGAAGCTGGGGTCCTGCAGGGCTCACGCTGCCGTGAGGCTCAGAGGCTGGGCTTGCACTGGGGACGCTGGGTGCCGGGGCAGTGCTGTCCTGGTGGGACCCCAATGCATGGGCGTGCCTCGGGGGGACCGGCAGGCAGCAAGAGTGGGAGGGAGCCACCCCGGTCACACACAGGCCCGTCGATGCCGCTCACCAGCCGTGCGACCTTGGCCGCCTGTCAGAGCCGCGGACTGCCATTAAGGTCCTGTGGGTGGCAGGAGGCTCCACAGGAAAAACGTTCCGCTCCAGACCCGGCCCGTGTTGGGGACCAGGCAGCCTTATCTTAGGGTCCAAGGTGTTGTGGGAGGGGAGTTGTAAAGTCAGGGTCACGTGTCATTGCCCGGCCGGTGTTGCTCAGTGGTTGCGCATCATCAGTCCATGAACCAAGAGGTCACTGGTTCAATTCCCTGGCAGAGAGCATGCCCGCATTGCAGGCTCAATCCCCCTTAGGGGGCGTGCAGGAGGCAGCCGCTCCATGATTCTCTCTCATCATCGATGTTTCATCTCTCTCCCCCTATCTTTTCCTGAAATCAATAAAAACACATTTTTAAAAATATAAAGCGTGTCCTGTGAGGAGGCAGCCACGGGCTGCTGGGCTCTAACGCGGAGGCTGATGCTCCGTGAGGGCTGGGAAAGTGCTGACTGCTCCAGCGACACCAGCCCCCAGCCCCTTCGTGTCCTAGCCCCTGGCCTCAGGGAAGGGGGTGGGTGTGGGGAAGGTTCCATGGTTTTAAAATGTATTTTCCTCATAACCCGATGGCCAGCCTGTGTCTGGGAGTGCTCTCAGAGTGACAGCCCCAGTCTGCTTTCCCGGGTCCCCCTGAGGACCCCACACACACCGCCACCCACTGCGGTCCTCCCGCCCGCCCCCACCCACCCCATCCACTGCGGTCCACCCACCCGCCCCCACCCACCCCACCCACTGCGGTCCACCCACCCGCCCCCACCCACCCCACCCACTGTGGTCCTCCCGCCCGCCCTCACCCACCCCACTCACTGCCGTCCACCTGCCCGCCCGCCCCCACCCACCCCATCCACTGCCGTCCTCCCGCCAGTCCCACCCACCTGGCCCACTGCCCCCACTCACTCCGGTTGGTCCGGATGGGGTCCGACCACAGGGTCTGGTCCTGCACCAAGCCCGAGGACACATTGACCAAGACGTACTTGAACCTGGAAGGAGATGGAGCCCGGGTGACTCCCATCCATCCTGTGAGCCGGCCTCCGGGGGGGGGGAGGGAAGGACTAGGGTGGCCGGAGCGGGGACAGAGCAGGGACGCCTAGAGGCATCCTGGCGGCCACGGTGGGCTCTGGGCAGCAGGCGGGGCTGGTCAGCAGGGGGAAGGGCTGAGGGGGCAGAGGGGCCAGGGTTCCTGTCCTGCCTGGTGACCGGGGCCAGAGGAAGGGAGGGGACAGGATGGCAGGTAAGTGATAGTCTGGCCCCACATGCAGCCTGGAAGGTACGGAGACCCCCAGCTAGGCATCTCCATGGTAACAAGAGGGGCTTTGGCACCAGGTAAGCGCCCTGGCCATGGGTCAGGGCTGAGCACCCATCTGAGGGCATGGCTGAGGGACCCACGGTGACGGGTGGCCACCCAGGTGCTCTGGGGGAGGCAGGGAAAGCAGAGGGTGGCTGGGTGCTGGAGAGGCGTCAGCCAGGCCGCCGGGTCATGCTCGGCCCTAGCTTCCCACCAGGTGGCGCCCTCCAGTTCCGGACCACAATTTCCTTCCCCGCCAAGGGAAGGGGTGCTTGGGGCACTGCCACCTGGGAGACGGGTCGGGACCAGGGGCACAACTTGTGCAAAATGAGAAGTCAGGACCCTTGTTACAAAATTAAAAATTCTCAAGCCAAGTGGAGGCCCTTCTGAGCAGGGGCCCGGTGCACAGCCGCTCCCTGAAGCCCCTTATGGGACCCGAGACGGTCTTGGCACACAGTGGGCTCTGCAGACACGTGACCTCACACTTCACCAGCCCAGGTCTTCCCGAGTCCAGCAGGGCTGGGCACCACGCTGGCTGGCACAGGTGCCCACACCCACCTGTACTCGGTGGCTGGCGCCAGGGGCGGGTTGCAGAGGCCCTGGAAGTTGGGGTCCGACAGGCAGGTCCCATTGTCGCCCACCCTGACCAGGTACGCGTGCAGGATCCCCGAGGCCCGGGCCACGTCCCCCACGGCGTCCAGGCTGGGCAGGTCGCTGCAGGGCGTCAGCACGAAGGCGGCGGCTCTGTAGGGGCCCGTCCTCCCTCCGGCCGTCTGCTGGAACGTGGAGCTGAGCGGGGTGTGGGTGCTGTCCTGCACCGAGGCGTTCCTGGAGCTGGCTGTGGGGGTGGTGCCGGGGGTAAGGTCCCTGCCACCCAGCTCCGTCACTCACTCAGTCATTCATCAAACGCCCCCCACCCCAACACCCTCTGAGCCAGTGCTGTGCTGGGCCCTGGGTCGCCGGCACCCACAGGCTCAGTCCCCTCCCACCCCCAACCCCCAGGGCTCCCTGTGCAATGGAGGTGCCGGCGTGGGTGCAGGGCCCATGCGCCACACCCTGTCACAGGCCTGGATGCCTCTCACCCTGACAGACACTGTCCCTTCCTTGCCGGGGCCCTGATTCCACCTTGTGTGAAAGGGGAAGGAGGGTCACAGGTCCAGGGGAGCAGCCAGACCTGAGGGCCTCCAGCCTCCTCCTGACCAGCAGGCGACAGAGGCCTGGGAACCGGGAGAGAAATGCCCCCCTCCCCCCGCTGGGCCCGGCAGGCGTCAGTGTTCGCCGGAGAGTGAGCGGTGGCCTGGTGAGGGGCTGGCTGCAGGACGTGTCAGAGGCGGCCCCTGGGTTCCTCTGTGGCGGGGAAGCCGGGCCGGAGCCAGCAGGTCCCCGGGAAACACGGTCTGGAGCCTCGGGAGAGCTGGCGGAGGACCAGGGCCTGGGCTCGCCGCCCGGCGCCGGTAGCCCCAGTGAGCCACTGCCCCTCTGAGCCTCCCCTCTGTGCTCTGGGATGGGCAACGCGATCCGGGACCCCGACAATGTGGGGGTGCATGGGGGCAAATCTGCATATAACGTTCGACTCCCGAAACTTAACCCATAGCCTCTGCGGAGGGAAGCCTTATCAATAACATCAGCAGTCAGTTATGTGGCTCCTAGCCTGTATTCTTACACTAAAGGCAGGGAGGCGCTGTCATAGGAGACGGTCCCAGTGTTCACTGAGGAAAACCTGCACTATCGGCCCTGCAGCTCCACCCGCTGCTCAGGGACCTGGTTACCCTGCGGGCGGCGGAAATGCCAGCTCCACGGGGTGCGGCGCCTGCATGCGGTGGGTGCCCAGGGCCGGTGCTGTCATAACCCCCCACCCAGGGTGTCCCTCAGGCCCAGCCCCCGCCGGCTCCGGCAGGCGCAGTGCAGGCTGGTGAGGTGCGGGTGGCTTCACAGGGAGGGCACATCCCTCCGCCTGCCCCCCTCCCCGCGGACAGGTCACCCCGGGGAGCACCCGCACCCGAGGCGAGCAGGGCGTAGAGGTAGATCTCGTAGGTGCCGTTGAGGGCCTCCGTGCTGTCGAACATGCAGAGCGGCTTCTCCAGGGCCACGGTGCTCAGCGTGGGGTTGTTGGTGGCAAAGGTCACGCTGGCCAGCTGGGGCTGCAGGGCCACACCTGGGGGAAGCAGCGAGGACAGGACCTGACCCCCGCAGAACTGTCCACAGCCGCGGGCACCCTCAGCTCTCTCACACACACACACACACACACACACGCAGTGACCGAGCACCTGCCAAATGCCAGGCACTGCCTTCACCCTCCCCAGGGCCATCCCAGGCACCTGCCTGCCTCAGACATGGGCAGCACCCCTGCCCCACCCAGCCATCCTGGCCAGGCACCGCTGGGCCAGCTGAACCGCTGTCCCCTCTACTATAGACGTTCACCCCACTGCCCCTCCCAAGCACCCCTCCCGGAAGCCCAGTCATGGAGCCCCCCCCCCTTCACCTGAGCCCTGGTAACAAGCCCTGCCCATCCTCTGCCCGGGTGTGCCCATCTGACCCTGTCCTCTGCGCCAGGCCCTGCCCTGCCCCACTGCCCTCCAGTGCAGTCCGCTCCGGAGGGGCAGCGAGGTCTGCGCATCTGGCCTTGCTTCACCGGGTCTCCAGCCTCACCTGTAGGCGCAGCCTGCACCCCGGGCTCCAGCCCCCGGTTCCAGCCCCCGGCTCCAGCCCCGGCGCTCCAGCCCCCGGCTCCAGCCCCGGCGCTCCAGCCCCCGCGCTCCAGCCCCCGAGCTCCAGCCCCTGCGCTCCAGCCCCGGCATGGACAGCGGAGCGGTTCCCAGGAGAGCCCGTGCCACCTGCCTCCTCCTGAGCCGCCGGGCTGCTCCCTCACCGCACCATCCCTCCATCCCCATCCAGGCAGCCCCGAGTCTAGTCCAGAGCCTTCTCCGCTCCCCACAGCCCCTCTCCGGCTGCCTCCTGCCGCACCCACCGCAGGGCGCCGCCCCGGCCCGGGAGCCCCCAGAGGAGCTGGTGCATCAGTGCTGGCCGATGAGTCCTGGGCCCCGGGCCGCCCCGGCCCCCGAGGAGCAGGGTCCGCCCGTTCCGGGGACCAATGCAGCCCCCTCCCGCCGCCCCGTCCAGCCGGCTCCTCCCGAACTCCTCCGGAGGGTCCCGGCCAGGACACCCCGGGCCCCGCTGCCCGCCCTCCCGGGGCCGGCCCCCTCCCGCCGTCCACCGCTCACCCAGGCACAGCCGCAGGCAGCCGAGGGCCAGCCAGGCCCGGAGCGCAGGCATCGCCCGGACCAGCCTCGACGGAGCGGCGCCGGTGCAGCGGACCCCGCGAGTCTCCCGCCGCGCACCTGCCGGCCCTGAGCTCCCGGCGCGCCCCGCCCCGCCCGCTCCGCCCGCTCCGGCCAATCCGCGGCCGCCTGGCGGGCTATTTACATACACCCCGCCCCCGCCTGCTCCGGCCAATCCGCGGCCGCCTGGCGGGCTATTTACATACACCCCGCCCCCGCCTGCTCTGGCCAATCCGCGGCCACCTGGCGGGCTATTTACATACGCCCCGCCCCAGGCCCCCTGGCTGCAAGGTGCCCTGGGCAAGGCATCAGGCCTCAGTTACCAAAGTGCCTACTGAGTGCAGAGGCCTGGGCCATGCGTGTCTCCCACCTGATACCTGAGGAGGGTGGAGAGGGGGGGTGCCATTCCTCTCTGAGCCTCAGTTTCCATCCAGTAAAAGGGGGACGCTAAATCCTCCAACAGTTCATAAAGAGCCTACTAAGTATCAGACCCTCACTGGCTCTTGTGAAGATGAACCAGGTTAACCAGTGAAAGCGCTGCCATGGGCCCTGGTCGGACACTCAGTGGTTAGAGCATCATCCCCATCCCCGTCCCCGCAGGCCCAGGTTGCAGGTTCGATCCCCAATCAGGGCACATACAAGACTCAACCAGTGAATGCAAAAATAAGAGGGACCACAAATCGATGTTCCTCTCTCCTCTAAAGACTGCTTTTAAAGTGCTATGATGGGAGCCTCGAAGTCCTGGGTCGGTGCTCGGTCCGGCGATCTGTGGCGTGACCCTTTCAGCTCACCACAAGGCCAAGGCCGCACGTGGACTCCCTGCAAAGGCCACACTGGAGGGACGCAGGGCGCTTTGGGCCGAACGGAACAGGATGTAGCCGCTTTCTGGGGGAAAACAGTGCCGGAGCCTCCGCCTGCACTAGCGGCTCTTCCAGCATCAGGACCCGTGCCCCTCTCCGAGCACATCTCCAAGATGCCACTTTATATCTAAGCACTAAGAGCATACCCACAGGAGGGGGAGTGGGCACTGGCACTGGGAACCGCGATACCAGGAGGCCCCTTGCCCACGGAGCCAGAGCGGCCGCCCAGAGGAGCAGCCACCGAGAGGACGGCCCGCATGGGCCAGACCTCACGCCCGGAATGTGGAAACGGGGCAGCATGACCTGTGGACGGGGCCCGAGCCCCTTGCTCCCCGAAGAATCTGCCAAGTCACAGGCGGCTGCCGGACTGGCAGGAACAGGGGTTCGAGCTCGTGGCGCTGTGCCACGCTGTCTGCACCAGCAGAAGCGCCTCCCCCCACCGCCCGTGGGTGCCACAGCTCCCCTTCCCTGTCCCATACATGCCGTCGCCTGTCCCCCAGTAAGAGCAGGAGGCGGGTTCTGCCTGAGTCCATGGCCCTGAGCAGCTGTCCTGAGCAATCCCATACACGCTGTGCCCTTCTGGAAAGGCCCTTCATAGGTTCCCGGGACCCGACAGAAACCAGTGAGGCCGTGGCTGCGTGGGTGACGGCCACGCACAAGGACACCAGAGGAGAAGACCGTCTGAGAGGACCGGACCCAGCGTAGGTGCTGCGCAGCCCAGGGCAGATGCTCTGGACAGGGGGGCCTGCCACAGACCGGGGAGGCAGAGCCGCGCTGAAGAAGCTGGGACCCAGGCCTCACTCAGTGCGGATTGCAATGGAGGAAGGAGCAGGACTCTGTGGTGTTTTTTTGTTTTGTGTGTGTGTGTGTGGGGGGGGGGTTTGTGTGTGTGTTTTTTAAATATATTTTATTGATCTTTTACAGAGAGGAAGGGAGAGAGATAGAGAGCTAGAAACGTCAATGAGAGAGAAACATTGACCAGTTGCCTCTGGCACACCCCCTACTGGGGATATGCCCGCAACCAAGGTACGTGCCCTTGACCGCAATCGAACCTGGGACCTTTCAGTCCGCAGACCGACGCTCTACCACTGAGCCAAACCGGTTTCGGCTTGTGTTGGTTTTTTTAGAGAAGAAGGGAGAGGGATAGAGAGTTAGATCAGCTGCCTCCTGCATACCTCCTACTAGGGATGTGCCCGCAACCAAGGTACATGCCCTTGAGCAGAATCGAACTTGGGACCCTTCAGTCACAGGCCAACGCTCTATCCACTGAGCCAAACCGGTTAGGGCTGTGTTGTTGTTTTTGTTTATTTGTTTGTTTTTAACTACATTTTTATTGATATTTAAAGAAAGAGGGAGGGAGCAGAGCGCTGGCAGGGTCACGGGCTGGGTCAGCGGTGCTGGTGCATTAGACTGTGAACCACAGGATGAGAGGATTGTGGGAATCTGGGGGCACCGCGTGATGAGATGGGCCTACCATCACCAGGAAAGGGATGGACGGCGGGCTGGCCTCAGGGGCTTTCCGCAGTTCTCGTCCAAGGAGTGCAATCGGAGCCAAATCAACGAGAAGCAGACTCCCCTCCAGCCAGCTCCTGGGCGCAGAGAATGTCAGTGTCACGGACGACAAGGGAAACGCTGTGGACAGAAGGAGACTCGGAGACAGAACCAGCTGCACCGCGGCCCCGGCTCATTCTCAGATAACACCGCTTCCCGGTCACAAACACTGGCACAGCCGGGGTGGCTGCGAGAGGAACCCGAATGACGGGATGCGCACTGGATGACAGTATTGATTCCGTGTTGTTTCCCACGAGTGACCTTGGCGTTGTGGTTACGAAAGAGGCACCGCCAGAGCGTGCTGGGTGCGTGTCGCAGCATCCGGAGCCGGCACGCACACGCTGTACATGGAGGGAGGGAGAGGGAGCAGCGGCAGAGCGAACGTGGCGTGATGTCAGCAGCTGGTGAATGTGGGCGTTCGTTGTGCTGTTCTGCCGATGCTTCTATGGCTTCAAAAACTTTTAAATAAAAATGTTGACCTGGCTGGTATGGCTTGGAGGTTGAACTCCTGGTCCGAGCCTAGGCCTGAGTGGTAGGCTCGATCCCCCAGTAGAGGGCGTGCAGGAGGCTGCCGATCAATGATGCTCTGATCATTGATGTTTCTATCCCTTTCTCCCCTCCAGCACCCCCTCTGAAATCAATAAAAACATTTCATTTTTTTTAAATGTTGGGAGTGAGAGATTCTGAGCTCCTCTCTCTGCGCCTCAGTTTCCCCTCTGTGACTGATGTGCCAGGTGTGGAGATCAGATCCGATCTCCAGGGAACAGAAAAGGCCCCGAGATAAGAACCCCCTGAGCAAACGGCAGGTGTTCCTCCGAGAATGTGTGTGGACTGACATTTCTGGTCCTGTGACCGCGTGTGAGCCGGGTTCATCGGAGGCCGAAGAGCCGATCTTGCCGGCTCAGCCGGAGCCCCTGAGCGGGAGCCGGCAGGGAGCTGTCCTTTCCCCGAGACTCGGCAGAGCCACGAGAAAACAAGCGAAAGGCCTCTGTCCTGGGCTTTACCCAAAAATGTGGGAACACTGTGTGTGTGTGGGGGGGGTGTTACAATAAGGCCCAAAAACATTCTGCATAATAAAAAATAATAATAATAATAAAAGATCTGGGGTTTATAAGCAAGGACCCTGCACAGATGCTGACGGTGTGGGGAATGCGCAGGAGAAAGGAATCGGAAGGGGGGGGGGGCAGCAGACAGGCTCCTTGGGAGACCCCATGGGGGCAGCAGGGAGGGAGGCTTGTGGAAAGGGTTCCCCATGGTGGCCTGCTCCCCCCTCCTCCCCCGCGTGGACATTCCAAAAGGCTTTTGCCAAGGAAGTGTCTCCCCCCTTTGATTAAGTTGACTCTAGGGCCCGGAGCTGCGTGACTTGGGCCTGTTTGTCCATCTCGGTCCGTCCGCCCGGCGCCCTGAACCCTGGCCCAGAAGCCGGGCCCGGAGGCGGCGGAGCAGGAAGTGCGTCTGTGTGAAAGGCCGTGCAAACCGGGCCGGCCGGCCTCCGGGAACGGAACCCGGGTTTGTGGGCCGGACATGCCTGACCCAGACATGTTCCTCCGCGGGCCAGAGGCCTGAGCCCACGTCCAGGAGTCTCTCCTCAGAAGTCAGGGCAGGTGGGGTACCCCTCCGCCCCCAGCAAGCCCTTGCTTTAGCGTTTGCCACATCAGAGAGGTCTCAGAAGCCAAGTGCTTCTGCCCTGAGGTGCAGTCACTTGAAAACAAAACAAAACAAGCCCAGGCTCCTGCCCTGGGGGCTCACACACCCCCTCCAGCTCTGAGTGGCCTCCCACCCGCCTCTCTGCCAGCTGCAGCCGCTGTCCACGCCCCCTCGCACCTGCTGCTCCCCCAGGGCCGGCTTCTCTCTGGGCCAGGCCCTGCCCCTTTACAACACCGCAGCTTCTCTCATTAAAACTAGTTCTTACTGATTTCAGAGAGGAAGGGAGCGGGTGAGAGAGAGAGAGAGAGAGAGAGAGAGAGAGAGAGAGAGAGAGACATCAGTGATGAGAGTCATTGACCCGCTGCCTCCTGCATGATTGGGATGGAGCCTGCAACCAAGGGCACGTGCCCAGCTGGGAGTCGAACCGTGACCTCCCGGCACATAGTTCTAGGCTCAGCCCCTGAGCCGCAGCGGCCCTTCTGTTTCTCCTCTTACAGTGGAGGCTCTGCAGCCGGAGGGGGAAGCAGCCGGGCCCAGCTGTGCTGCAATTCAGAGCGGCGGGCAGACCCGGCGAGCTTCCCCTCTGGGAGCGTCCACCAGGGACCTGTCCCAGCCGGGGCCTCTGGGAGTTTGTGGAGCGGCTGGCAGCTCTCACCCCGCAACACCCATTTACAACGTGAATCTAAAGAGCGCCCCCGGTGCTGCCCGCTGTCTGGGCAGGGACCCGCAGGGCCTGGAGCAGTTCCTGGAGGCCCGTGTCAAGGCCAAAGGGCAGAGGAGGGTCAGGGGGAAGGCGAGGCTTCCCAGTTGAACCTGGCAAACCAGTTTGTCCATCTCTGGAATGAAGACGGTTGTCTGTGTGATTGTATCTGTGTCCCCTATCTGTGTGATCGGGAGGCTGGGCCTGGGGCCGCTCCTGCCCAGCCCCGAATGCTCA